ATCCGGGTTAGAATTGGTCTTCAGCAACCCATGCTTGTCGTAAGAGGCTACAGGCTCGCTGACTTGTCATCGGATCCCAGTTGCGTAGATCGATGTTCATGATGTTGATCACTTGATTGTCCGGTCCAAAGTGGATTATTTACAGACCGCCGTCATATAGCTGGAATATTGCTGAGTGCGTCGTTAAACAACAAACAAAACAAATATCATTGTTACTTTGTAAGTTAAATTACAATCAATATGCTAGCTATCTGACAGATGATGGTAATAACTAATCGAGTTGGTACCATGTGATGCAGTGACTGATACCATGAGCATCAGTCTACGCAATAAGGACTTGCATAAACCAAGTAAGCAAGTCTGGCCTCCCGATCTCAGTAGCTTCTAACGACAAGACCTATTCAAACATCCAATTTTCTGCTTTCGCTCAACGTGCGGGCGGCCATGTCTAAAATACATTAGATCTGAGATTTAAGTTATTTTAAATTTGTTACATTTGTTTATTTTGTAGGTATATACGTGATTGCCATCACGTATTTTGAGTAATACCGTTCGTTATTGCATTGTGTTTTATACAGTTTCACTGGATGTACTCGACATAGATTCTTTGATCTTTTGTCGTAACTGTTATATGTGAGATGGGCAGGTGGTGATTCAAAGTTTGGATAGCCATCAGTCACTTTAACAATTTCAACGTTTAGAGAAAGAATACAGCCAGGCGAACCATCGATACATGCTAGTGTGTTACACACTTTCAACAACTATCTCATCAACTCATCTTTCATACAGAAATAGTGAAAGCAATTTTAAAATACCTTATGCCTTATCAATTCACTAGTTATCACCCAAACCCCATGAAGAGCAGCCTCCTGACTAGTATTTGAAACAACTGCTAGCTGTAACTGTCAGACCCGTTCACATCCTCACCCCAGTGGTAAAAGTTAAATGAAAACTTCAGTAGTCAAACTTTCTCTATTTCCTTATAAGTTTTTGTTTATATTTGTCTGTCGTTTTACGCCGCAATCAACAATATTTCAGCTACACGGAGGCGGTCTGTAAGTTAACCAGATAATCCAGTGATCAAAATCATGAGCATCGATCTACGCAAATGGGGAACGATGGCATGTGTCAACCAAGTCAGCGAGCCTGACCACCCGATCCCGTTAGTCGCCTCTTAAGCGTGGGTTTTTTACCCGGCTTTTCACGGGTCCCTCAGAAGTTATCCTTTCTAACAGGTCAGTATGGTAACCCAGTGGTTAAAACGTCCGCTCTTGAAGACGAAGACCCAGGTTCGATTCCGCAAATGGGTATGGTATGTCAAGTCCATTTCTGGTGTCAGCCGCAGTGATATTGCTGGAATATGGCTAAACGCGTGTAAAACATTTTTCACTCACTAACGCACCTTTCAAACATCAAAGAGCCGTCTAAATACTGCAGTAAACGTTAGCACCAAAACAGATAGTCATCCTGACTCACATGATTATGACTAACCCACCTTCACATCGGCTTCAAGCCACCACTCACGTTCCAAGCAATCTCCACAAAGAGTTCCACAACAGCACACTACTTCACCGAAATACTATAGTGTACACTCACTCCTTCATTCGTCACTACTTGCTTCTTTCCGTAACCTGCCACCAGCCCCGTCCCCTTATCAATGAATCTTCAGTGCTAAAATACGACAAACCAATCCGAATGCGCGTAGCGAGTGAAGTATATTGATGACAATAATCTCGAGTACTTAAAGGAAAGCATGGCATTATTTTAACGTTTGAAAAATGGTGAAATATATATAGCTATTAGCCTATATGCTGACATGTCAAAGTACATCGATAACACTGTTGTGTAGCATGAATTGCAGCTGTTAATACCGATAAAAACATCTACGGTGACAGGTTCACACACTTTTATGTTTACGTAACATGTTTTCCCGTTGCGGTTGTTCTCTTACTCTCTATTTGGATTTCCAAATGTATTTAAGTTTGATGTCGATTTTGAACATTTTATTGATGTACTAAAATATGATAAATATTTTTTAAGTAACTGAGCTAACCGCGAGTTTCAAAACAATATACATTAGTGAGTGAGTATTGTTACGCCGCCTTTAGCAATATTCCAGCAATATCACGGCGGGGGACACCAGAAATGGGCTTCTCACATTGTACCCATGTGGGGAATCGAACCCGGGTCTTCGGCGTGACGAGCGGGCGCTTTAACCATTAGGCTACTCCACCGCCCGCCGCCCCCAATATACATTATTTATAGCCAATTAACTTTAATATTACAGGTGATGTTTTGGCGTTATGTTTCGCGGGTATTTCATTTTTTATTCAGCGTAGTCCAATAGATATTCTGCTGTTTTCAACAAGATCGCATGAACGTTTACCCAACTGGACCAATACCTTGCCACTTTATTCTCCCCGAATTCTTCAGTGTAAAGATATTTACAAAAGTCATGTTGTGACGGCCTTATCCCTAACGTCGATTTCACATGTTGAATATAAATTTTATGGACTTGCTCGTTTTAACATCAGGGGTTTTAAAACAACAAGAATACAAGATTGCAGATATTCTCAATATTTATTCCACTAGTTGATTTTTTTTATCTAAAGAAAATAAAACTTAATGTAAAATTGTCACATATTATCGTCTGAGTAATATGAGGTAATGAGTAATGTGACACAATGCATCAATAAATAACATAAACTGTTTTAAAACGAATCTAAATGTAATGTATGTTATATTTGGAATTACATTTTCTCAGTATAGTACAGGATTTGGTATTTTTGTCCCACCCGGGATTCGGACCAACTCTCTCAGAGTTAGGCATCTGGGTGCCGTTGTACAAAGCGATCTTAGCGCAGAGGTGACCGTAACTCCCAAACTTTAACATAGACTTAAGGTAGCCTTAGCGCTAAGGTTGTTTTGTACAACGGCACCCTGATCGCCAGCATACAAAGTCAGCCATCTGACCCACTCATCAGCTACCGCTGCTTCCACAAAATTAGTAGTCAGTGTGCCTCTGTGACAAACGTAACTAACATGGCTCCAAGTTTTGAATACACAATACATTATAGAATGGGAATTAGATGTTGACACAATCCACCCCTAACATACACCCCTTACTGAAGCTTTAAAAACATTGTAGATAACAATTTCAGTTTTTGTGTACCAAACAATTTGCTACTCAATGGCACATTTATGTGGCACGTCGTGATGTAAGAGGAATTCTGTCCGAAGTGGCCTTAAAAACCAAGTCATTCCTCCACCAAATTCCTCTTCTACCAAATTACCCAAACGAACACCAACATCGATTTTTACCCAACTATCCAAACATTCGCTTCTACCAAATACCTCAGCAGCCGTGAGCACCAGTCAGTCGTCCCACTTTTTTCTCCAGCAAACACCACTCCATGCGCAAACCTCATTTAAACCCCACTTCAACCAAACCCACCCCGAAACAAGCAACGCTCCAACCAAACCACAGTCCAAACCAGCAGCACTCAAAACAAACCCCATTCCAACCATATCCGGTCCTACCAATAACGCTCCAATCAAACCCCGCTCGAACTACGGCCCACTAAAACCAAACCCTGCTCGAATATAGGCCCACTACAACCAAACCCCGCTAGAACTAAGCCCCACTACAACCAAACCCCGCTCGAACTAAGGCCCACTACAACCAAACCCTGCTCGAATATAGGCCCACTACAACCAAACCCCGCTAGAACTAAGGCCCACTCCAACCAAACCCCGTTCCAACTAAGGCCCTCTACAACCAAACCCCGTTCCAACTAATGCCCACGACAACCAAGACCCGTTCCAACTAAGGTTTTACTACAACCAAACCCCGTTCCAACTTAGGTCCGCTACAACCAAACCCCGTTCCAACTAAGGCCCACGACAACCAAACCCCGTTCCAACTAAGGCCCACTACAACCAAGCCCCGTTCCAACTAAGGCCCACTACAACCAAACCCCCTTCCAACTAAGGTCCACAACAACCAAGCCCCGTTCCATCTAAGGCCCACTACAACCAAACCCCGTTCCAACTAAGGTCCGCTACAACCAAACCCCGTTCCAACTAAGGCCCACTACAACCAAGACCCGTTCCAACTGAGGTCCACTACAACCAAGCCCCGTTCCAACTAAGGCCCACTACAACTAAACCTCGTTCCAACTAAGGCACACTACAACCAAACCCCGTTCCAACTAAGGCCCACTACAATAAAAGCCCCGTTCCATCTAAGGCCCACTACAACCAAGCCCCGTTCGAACTAAGGTCCACTACAACCAAGCCCCGTTCCATCTAGGGCCCACTACAACCAAGCCCCGTTCCAACTAAGGTCCGCTACAACCAAGCCGTGTTCGAATTAAGGCCCACTACAACCAAACCCCGTTCCAACTAAGGCCCACTACAATAAAAGCCCCGTTCCATCTAAAGCCCACTACAACCAAGCCCCGTTCGAACTAAGGTCCACTACAACCAAGCCCCGTTCTATCTAGGGCCCACTACAACTAAGCCCCGTTCCAACTAAGGTCCGCTACAACCAAGCCGTGTTCGAACTAAGGCCCACTACAACCAAACCCCGTTCCAACTAAGGTCCACTACAACCAAACCCCGTTCCAAACCCAAACTATCTGTACTCATCCCCGACATCCTCCGGAACTCACCATTAAATCATCAGCCAACATGAACACGCAATTCACTTGAACATACACTTCACAAAAATAGACAGTCGCATAATTAACTACACGTGTTTCGTTTAACAAGAGAGCCATGATATCACTGATTTAAATCCGTCTATTATCATAACAACTTCACCCTCGTAACATTTACATGTATTTTGTCAAACCCGATAACAACACAACGCGTGAATTATTAATTCGTTTTCCTCCTTTAACGCCATGAGTTGTCCAGACTCGTGAAGCCAGACAGATGGTCGATGGCTGTTGACAATCATTGGTGACCACGATACAGGAAGAGCATGAAGTGTTCAACTCTCTGTGTCAACACATTGTATTTGCCACAGAATGAGTGTACACGCAGACAAGAGCGACTCGAGTCCGGTGCTGTCAGACAGGGCGGACCCTGAGGGGGGAAGGGGAGTCGCCGAGACGGCCGTCGTCGAGGGAGTTGCTGATAACGAAGCCTACGTTCCAGACGCCAATGCTAAGGAGCGGACTGAGATGCAGAGGTAAGAGACGTTAGATTCTTAATTCTGAAGACAGGTATAGCTCATAGTATTACATATTTTAATGTAGATCGTCATCGCTATTTGAAGCAAAACAACAATCATGTGTAGCAACGATTTTCAATTTGGCAATGTCGAAGGTAATTTGCATAAATTTGTCAATAAAATGAACACATAAACCCGACGGTTATTTCGTGTGCAGCCTGTGTTCTCTTAGCATTTCATGTCTACAAATGATTTCATGCATTAAGGTTTGAAAGTTAGTGAGTATGGTTTTACGCCGCTTTTAGCAATATTCCTGCAACATCACGGCTTTGACAGTTTATCTATAATTCAGAGAGCGTATTGAACATGTGTCAGTTTGTTTATGTTGTTTATGTTTTTGAAATGTATACAGAATCACAACAACCATTTCCATAATTGTAAAGTATTTCTATAGGCCGCTGTATCAATCCGACTCCATCGCTAAGACGTCTATCACTAATGCTATGTGGCATTGTATCATAAGCCATGCATAATGTTTGTGTTGTGTTCACGGTAAACGTATGCCACACAGGCATGGTTTCATGTTTAGATTCACAGATTGTTATCAATACATAGCAAAGTTAGCGTCCTTTGTTTGAGGAATCGTTTAAAGTGTAACTGTATATCCGTCCTGGATAAACCGTGGATAACATATATTTTTTTTACAGTCAAAATGATTATGGTGGAAGGTTTTATTGTATATTTTCTATAATGGTTATGAATGAAAGTACGTTAATGTCATTTTGAAAAAAAAATAGTACCAGTGGAACGGTTGGCAAACAGCTCATATTGTTAAACAATATCAGCGATCTTTCCCAAACAGGCATCTGTTCAGCTCAACAAACACCTCTTAATATTCCAGCATCATTAAGAACAATGGTTTATGAGATCATAACTTGTTTATCAGCTCACAAATTCACAGCATTTCACCATTTGAACAAAAGGTTGACAAAGGTTGTTTCCTGCTATGCTAGACTGAACATACGTTTTCACATTTTTGACAATGATAGTATATGGAATTATTTAATGTTAGTACTTAAGTGTCAGGAACCCAAACCAGAAGAAACGACAGACAGCTTGTTTTGTTGGTGTTGTTTTGTTTGTTTTTTTTTCCGAGCTTGTTATCACTAGTCTCTGACTGGAGACTGTGCAACAACGGATGGTTCAGCCATGTATATGGAACTGGACAGGTAATGTTTAACATTATTTTAAAGCAAACAGCGGTGTAATGAAAAATAAAACACAAGTCAAAATATTTTTCTTCTAAAAAATGTTTGTTAGAAGACCAACTCGTGTGTCAACACACAGATTGTTTTTCCTCGTCACTTTAAAGCTGTTCTCTGAACTGCGCAACAACGAATGGTTGAGCCATTTGTAATCTGTAACCGACCCACTAATTGGAACTATTGGTGCCTCACTGAGAAATGCACACATGCACACAAGCACCATGTTTAATTTGAACTGATAGCCATCGTCAGCCAATCGGTGCTTGGCCGATGACATCAGAAGTTTGCAATTGATAAGCACACTGCAGACTCGTGATGAAGGCCGACCATCTTCTCGAGAACAATTACATGCGTTCTGTATGGCCATAATGGACATTTAACATTCTGTCTGACCTGGCTGTTTGACATGTGTTTCAAAGACACTTTGAAAAGACTGTTATTTTGACCAGGTTTTGACAAATGATTCCGGATATTCTTGGCTTAGCAATATCATTGTGATGACACATATTCTTTAATGAAGATGAAGACCAAGGTTCACACACAATATAAAGTGGAACCCGTTTAGTCCGGACCCGACCCGTGAAGATCCGGGTTCGAATTGGTCTTTAGCAAACCATGCTCGTCGTAAGAGGCGACTAACGGGATCGGGTGGTCAGACTGGCTGACTTGGTTGACACATGTCATCGTATCCCAGTTGCATAGATCAATGCTCGTGCTGTTGATCACTGGATTGTCTGGTCCAGACACGAGTATTTACCGACCGCCGCGATATATCTGGAATTTTAACGAGAGAAGCGTTAAGCATCAATCAAACAAACAAACAAGCAACCATTACCTTATTACTGTTTGTTCCCAGCTGATCCGTCAGGATCATGGTCCACGTGTTCCGAACTATATTCATGGTACAGCTTTCTGGTCCCAGTAGAGGCGGCGAGGTAGCTTAGTGGTTAAAACGTTCGTTCGTCACACCGATTTCCCACGTTTGATTCCCCACTTGGGTACAATGCGAAAACTCATTCCTGGAATCCCCTACAGTGATAACTGTAATATTGTCACATGTAGCGTAAAACCCATATCACTCGCTCACTCACTCACCTACTCACTCACTCACTCTGGTCCCGACTGACTAGTCAACACAATGGTCTGATATCCAAATTCTGGTTGTCCCAAACTAGGCTAATAGTATAACTGTTTGGTCAAAACCTTTCAGTGCTATAGTCAATATTCACGCTTTACTTGTCGAGAACTAGGGATGACAAGAGATACGGCTTTGTTTATCGACACAGACTGGGTACTGAGATAAACGTAAAATACCGTTTCATAGTCGGGTGAGTTACATTTATCAACAAAGTCGACTTCGTATTATGAAAAATGGAAAATTAATTGTTCCGATTTTGTATCAGGAAATTCTTGAAATTCATGTGTTTTCTTGACAAAGAGAACATGACGTGTTCTGGCTAGGGATGTCCACCGGATGGTTTCTGTCTGCTCTAGAAATAACTGCATGCTTTATTTACAAAATGTTTCTCATTCATTACATTGAAACAAATATGATAGGACTTGTTGCGATGTGATAGCATCGTGTGCTTTTGGAAAGAATTTATACACATCGTTATCCAAAGCACGAAATACCTGAAACATCACGCAGAGCATTATCAGCAGCAGTTGGAGAGGTACTTCAGAACACACTGCTACAAACAGCGTTCCGCCTGGAGTGCGACTGAGAAAGTTGGATTACACGCGGAACTGAACGGTATTCCAGTTATATCAAGGTCAGTCCTCCTGATGGGGATTCTCATCGGGCTTTCCGCTAAGGCCATGTATAAAAATATTCTTGTTTGTCATTGCCTCCCGAACCAAAAATTCGACCCGAGCCTAACATTTTTTATATTTTTTTACACTAGAGAAAATGCAAATTTTTCACACTTCTAAGTTTTGATTTTCTATCGGAGAAAAGTATAAATTTCCACAGAAATTAAGGGGTTTTGGATATACAATAAAATAAAATGTAAAAATAAAATCCGTCTTCGGGCGCAACATACATTGATTTTAGATAAGCATGTGCTATGATCAGACGGGCATCGAGCAATAATTGAGACCATCATTAAGCAAATACCAAGTTTCAGTAAGCTGTTCTTTCGGCTCGATAATTTTAAAAATCAATTGATTTCTTTTTTGATGAGCAAATATGGGATCTACTCAGCTGACAACAGCTCAGGAATGGCAAGTTATTGGTATGCACAATGCTGGCATGTAAATGAAGACTGTACCGAAAAGGTGTTGGTTGTCAGAAAACATGAGCAAATTAATAACGTTAAGGACTGTTCCACCATGAGTGGCAACTCCAAGGGAGGATACATGCCCTCTCAGAATCACAAGACTTCATCCGTTCATGTCAAGTGTCGTGTTACAAACAGAGTGCTTCCACGTCGTTGCTTGTCCAACAGACCGGTCCAAAATCGCCTATAATCGGCCGGGTATCGAGCCCGACGATCTATTAGACGTCCTTTGTTATCTTCAGGGCACGAGGCAACACGACTAGCTTGTCCTCCCTCGACTGCCTGATCTGTCGAGCTATCTTTTCTTATCTCCATAGCAGAATGCAGCGTGCCTGTTTTGGTATCAAACTCGACCTGACTGGAATTTGACGTCATGGTGAAAGGTCCAGTGGTCGGACGAGAGCCGATTTCTTTTGTTTATGACTGACGGCCGAAATACTGCATGTGCAGAACAGACTATCTTGAGGGAAGTACCGTTTAGCGAGTGTTCACTGATGGTAAACTCACATGACTGTAAACTTGACCTGGTGACGATCAGACAGCGGAACATCACTGACATCCTAGACAGGGTTGTTGTACCACATTTTGATGACCATTCTCTGAAAACAAAGCCAGTCTTGCATGGACGACAAAACTAAACCACATCGTGCCATTGGTTATTTCTTACAAGTGGCGAGAGCAACCATACCTTGTACCGCCATGAGCCCACATCTCAATCACATAGAGCATGTCTGGGACATATTGTGTCACAGAGTATGACAGATAGATCCTCCAGTACAAAACCCTGATGTATTGGAACAAGTCCTCTATCAAGAATGGATCGCAATACCCCAACGTCAAATTGAACGTCTGATACAGTCAATGAGGAGAATCGGGGATGTTATTGCAGTTGTCGGAGGTTACACCAGATATTGACATACCACTCGGTTATTGACACTTATGTGATTTTCTGAGGACTGTATGCCAGAATCTTGAAAATAACCGCACTTGTTAAGACCATATACCATAGCTGTCAATGTAACATATATTATATTCGGGATTACACTTTCGTAGTAAAGTACAGTTTGTACTAGTACTTTTTGGGTTGAGTCCCATCCGGGAGTAGAACCCACACCCTCAGAGTCAGGCACAGCAGACAAAGTCAGATCTAGACGCCTTGACCGCTCATCAACGCGGCTTTTTTGTGGAATCCCAAATATAACATATATTACATTGGACCACTTTCTAAAATTGCATTGTGTATTTCATAGCTGTCAACACTACAAAAAGAGCTCATTTGGCCGTTTTCCTCTCAGCATTAACTGCAGTTTTTCGTGCTTTCCATCTGTATATTTTTGTAATTCACCTGTCCCACCACAATGCCATATCTCTGTGCGTGACATATGTCTCCCACACCATCACACTTTCGCCACCAAATTTGTCGAACTGTGGTTAATTTGTTTTCTTCCCCCTCGGCGTTGGAGATGACAACTTG